GGTGTGCAAGGCCTAAGCGGACGCAGTACCAGGGAGAGCAGACTCACTAGTACCTAGGGCTGCAGTCTCTATACCTGGGTCAGGCGGCATACACAAGTAGCAGTCACCCTCAGCACTAACAGTCAATGCATACATGGCAGCAAGAATAGCATCATAGTCAAGATCAAAGATAAGAACATTGCGCCTAAGCATGTCTGCCCAGGGGGGGAACTTAGTAGCCTCAGGAAACTTGGCGCACTAGGCATCGTTAAGCCAAGAGAAGCAGCGGTACTCAGTGTGAAACTTGCCGCATGGGTGACCAGCGCGAGGGCTCGTGCGAATGATATAGGGGCAACGAACATGACGACGCCCCACGCTGAGCGTACCAGTCACGAAGCTGCTGAGTCATGGGGGTCTCGTGCTGACGCTGCTGCTGCTTCTGCTGCGGCTGCTGCTGCTGCGGCTGCTGCTGCGCCACCACTAAAGCCCCCTTTCTGGCCGGTTCCACTCCAGCCCCCACCACCGCTGCCACCACCAATCCCTCCTCCCCCACTACCGCCGCTGCCACCGCCACTGCTCCCGGTACCACCGCCGCCCCCACCACCACCTCCACCCCCACGACCACCCCCACCACCTCCACCTCCCCCGCCGCCTCCACCACCGCCCCCTCAACCTCCTCTGCCACCCCTGCTGCCCCTGGCGCCGCGGCGCTTCCAACTAGGAGCGGAAGCAGCCCTGACCTCCTCAGCACCAAGGAAGTCGACAGCAGCAGCAGCAGCAGAGGCGTAGGAGGGGGCAAGAGGGGAGGGGGAGCACCCCTCAAAGAGGGGAGTGCGAGGAGTGCCACGAGCAGCACCTACAGCGAGAATGCTCTTTTTGGCTGCTAGGAGGTGCTTCTCGAAGTCGGCGACAGTGAGAGTGGTAGGGTCTAGGGCGAGAAAGTGGTCCCTGACTGAGCGAAGAGTGTCAGGGAGGCGGGTGACGAGGAAGTAGAGAGTAAAGTGGGGGGTTCTCGGCGAGGAACTCGTCTGGAAGGGCGGCACGAAAGCGAGCGTCACTAGCGCGAAGGTGAGAGATGAGGTCCTCAGCGGTGGTAAACGAGGACAGGTCGGGGAACAGGTAGGGTAGGAGAAGACGACCTAGGGCTGCAGTGGCTGGGGAAGAGTAGCGGGCAACTACAGCGTCGTACAACGCCTTAGCAGTCTTGTGCTGGCTAAAATGCGCGCGCTCAGTGATCGGCAGATGGTTGCAAATAGCGAGGCGCGCAGCAGCATCGCGAGTCTGCCACTGTGAGCGGTCGAGAGCGGTAGCGGTGTCAGCAGGAGCAATGGAAGTGCCAGACGCGTGATCGAACAGGGAAACACCGTCTTTGGCATCAGTCATAAGAAACAGTTGCAGGTCGTCGAGCCGAGTGGCGAATTCTATCGGTCGACAGTCAGGATCGAAAATGAGGACATTGAGAGTCGCCATGAATGCATCGCAGGTAAGGGTAGCGCGCAGGCGGTAAAGCAGAGAGCAGGCCGGGAGGAGCTGCTCGCAGGGCTGCAGTGGCGGCGCAGAGAGCAATTGGGGCAGCACGCGAGGCAGCAGCGGGCAGCGCGCGGGGCAGCAGGACGGCGCGCGCAGCGCAGCACGTCACAAGGCAAGCAGGCAAGCAGGCACGCGCAGGCGGCGCAGCGCAGGGCAACTCGTGAGGTAGCGCAATAACGAGCGATTGGTGGGCCCGTAAAAAAAAAAAAAAGACAAGGTCCTACGGACCTACTCCTCTGATACCATGTCAGAAGAACTAGCAGGAATGGAATGAACTAGGTCAAAGTTGGGTACAAGTATGAAACCCTAAAGGGGCTATACCCCATATTGGCTACCCCACTACAGCCTACACATATATAACACATACATGATTTGACAAGTGCACGTGCGCTTATTCTGTATTTCAGACTTTACTAAAGCTAGGGCAGCCTTGTCTGCTGTGGCGAAAACCAAGTCGTCAACGTAGATAAGGATGATAGAAAAAGTGAAGTCATAATGAACGAACAGCAACAGGTCGATGGCCGAAAAACTGAACACCACGTGCCACTCACGTGATGCCTGGCGAAGACTGTAGACTGGTCTGTCAGAATATATTTTATAAATATTTCTGTATAAGTGCATGTAGTTCTAGCTGTAGTGTAGTTACATAGCTGTTTTGTGTGGTGGTGCACCACTCCTTGCATGTTCTATTTGTACTTGCAATTCTAATAGTGAAGCCCTCTCTGCTTTGGCAACTCTCTCGACACTCTCTTTCGCCTAGCCTAAACCCTAGGCTCCTAGTCCTAACTTATGAAGCTATTCTGACATGATCGTCTCAGGCTCCACTGGGTCCCAGGCGGGAAAGTGCCAGTGTAGCCAGAAGGACGGCGCAACTAGATCTCATCATACCAGGCAGCTTTGTAAGAAGGCAATGGAGAAGTATAGTGAGTGCAGCTCGTAGTCTCGCTGTGCTACGATATGTCGTAGCACCCGAACAGTGGTCATTTTTGGATTGGGGTAGAAGGTCTGAATTAAGTCTACCCCTTAATGCTGGCTGAAGCCTCTTGCTACGTTGACAGGAATGAATTGACTAGATCAGGGTTTGGTACAAATATGAAACCCTAATGGGGTTGTACCCCATGTTGGCTACCCCACTACAGCCTACACAAATATAACATGCATATAATTTGACACACCCCCATAGGCAAAGTGGGGGAGAGCAAGGGGTCACAAGACCAGTCAAGAAATGCAAAGCAAGCTCAGGGTGGATCACAACGTCACCACACGCACTGAGCACAAGCAAAGGGCCACAAGGCCAGTTCACATGCAGAGGTATATATGCAACAATAGCATCACAGTGATCTCTACCTAGCAAGAGCAAACATGCAGGTATATGTATATAGATCACAGTACAAGCAAAGCCTACAGCAAGTGAGGAAACGTAGGCACAAGGCCCAACAAGGTACAAAAACGCTGATGATCACCAGACGGAAGTGCCTTGGTGAATATATCAGCAGTGTTGGCCTGAGTGGCCACGTGAGCAAGACGAAGCTGACCACGCTGCTGCAACTCTCGAGCAAGGAAGTAACATAAAGCGATGTGCTTCGTTCTGTGCTCCAGTCTGTGCTCCTGACACAAGGCAATGGCAGCCTTGTTGTCGACGTACAGCACTGGAGGAGAACGAGGCCGCTCTCCCAAGTCGGTCAGCAGGTAGGTGAGCCAGCGTAACTTCTGTGCAGCCATGGCCGTGGCGTAGATCTCAGCCTCACAACTGGAGCTGAGAACAGAAGGCGAGCGAGTAGAACGCCAAGAAACAGAGCCAGAACCAAGGCTGAAGGTGTAACCCTGTGACGACCGCTGCGTAACCAGGTCGTCAACCCAAGAAGCGTCTGAGTGCCCAGTGAGGACAACCTCACCCCGTCCTCCAAGCACGAGCCCCATGCCCGATGTACTGCACAAGTAGCGGAGTATCCTCTTCGCAGCATCCATGTGCACCTTTCGGTGCCGACCAGGAGCCACGTAGCGTGCCAGAAGGCCAAGAGGGTACGCAAGGTCAGGACGAGTGCAGGTCATTAGGTACATGAGGCAGCCCACTAGCTCTGGGTAAGGACCACTCGGCTCTACGGACTCGTCCGAAGGTGGAGCTGAGAGCAAGTGGCCTGTAGCCAGAGGAGTGGACTGTGCCGAGGACCAGGTGAAGCCGAAGCGCTAAAGGACCTGCTGCACCATGTGTGACTGAGTCAGTGTGATGGTGCGGCGTGCTCGGTCCCGGGTGATCTGCAAGCCAAGGTAACTGCGCACCTCATCCAGGTCTGTGCATGTGTGTCTCTTCTGCAGCTCCGACTTCACCAGGGCGAGAGCCTCAGTGTCAGAAGTGGCAAAGACCAAGTCGTCGACGTACACGAGGATGTAGAACGGCGGCAGCGAAGTGTCGGTGCGCAGAAACAGCGACGGGTCAGCAGTCGACGGAGCAAACCCAAGAGCCGCGAGTGTCGTCCTCAGTGTGTCGTGCCACTCACGCGGCGCCTGGCGGAGACCGTAGACTGGCCGCCGGAGGCTCCAAGGGGTACCAGGAGGGAACGACCCAGTGAAGCCAGGTGGGCGGCGCAGCCAGATCTCCTTGTGCAGGCTGCCCTGTAAGAAAGCTGTGCTGAAGTCAAGAAAGTGAAGCTCGTAGTCACGCTGAGCGGCAACGTACAGCAGCACCCGAAGAGTGGTCATCTTCGGGGTGGGGGAGAAGGTCTGGAAGAAGTCAACTCCCTCCCGCTGACTGAAGCCTCGAGCAACGTAATGAGCCTTGAAGACAGGCGGAGAACCCGGTGGCCGCTTCACCCTGAAAATCCACATGCCATCGACGATGTTCGCCCCAGGAGGGGGAACCTCATCGACGTAAGTGCCTGTGGACTTCCAGGATGCCATCTCTGCGTCCATGGCTGTCTGCCACTGAGAGGAGTAGGGACCCGAAATCGCCTCTGCGTAAGAGCGCGGGGTCGGGATGTCTGGAGCATCCGGGTCTCCCTCAGGGGCAAGTAGCATGGCACGAAATGAGGCGCAGCGGCTGCAAGACACTCAAGGTCCTCCTGCCTGTCCTCAAGGACGTCCGTGCCAAGAGCACACTCACCCCCGACGGACGGAGGACAGACAGACTCAGACTCAGCAACAAGACTAGCAGCGTAGTCGAGACGACAGGCAGCAGCAAAGTCAACAAGCTCAGCGACTAAGGCAGACGCAGCAGAAGACTCAAACGACGGGTCAGTGACAACAGTGGCTAACAGACGCGTGACAGTAGGGTGTGCAGCACGAAATCGGCCAGACTCCGGTCGGCAACGTCAGACAGAGAAGACGCAGGAGGAGACTGCAGAGGAACACGCTGCGGAGCAGAGGAAGGACGCAGAGCCATGAGGTGTGTGCCGAAGATAGATGGCGGACGCGGACGAGGAACACGACTACCAGTACGACCAGTGCGGACAGTGCGAACAGGCGAGACAGGACGCGACGCAGGCTCACGATGCTCAGCAAGACTACCTCCCGGCTGCTCAGTGTAAGGAGAAGGAGCAGGCAGAGGTGAGCCAGGCTGTAACGGAAAACCAGTAGAAGACGGGAGGGTAAGAACCTGACGAAGAACAGAGTCAGGCGGCGGTAGAGACGACGGAGACGGCGGAGCGAAGAACAGTCGTGTTGGCGCAGCGGCACAAGCACCAGCAGCTCTAGCACCTCCAGCACCTCCAGCAGCTCCAGCACCTCCAGCAGCTCCAGAACCTCCAGCCCCAGCTCCTCGAGGGCCAGCACCACCAGCAGCTCGTGAACCTCCAGCGCCAGCACCTCCAGGACCAGCGTCACCAGCAGCAGCACCCCCAGAACCGGCACCTCCAGTCCCAGGGTCTCCAGCCTCAGTGTCTCCAGCAGCAGCACCCCCAGAACCGGCACCTCCAGTCCCAGGGTCTCCAGCCTCAGAGTCTCCCACAGCAGCACCCCCAGAACCGGCACCTCCAGCCCCAGGGTCTCCAGCCTCAGTGTCTCCAGCAGCAGCACCCCCAGACGCAGCACCTCCAGACTCCCAGGGTCTCCAGCCTCCGTGTCTCGAGCAGCAGCACCCCCAGACGCAGCACCTCCAGCCCCAGCAGCTCCAGTACCTCCAGTACGAGCACCTCCGGGACCAGCGACTCCAGCACCTCCTGTAGTCAAAGTACCAACACCACTCCCAGCTCCAGCGACGTCAGCAGAAGCACCTCCAGCGGCCGAGCCCTGAGCTTCAGCAGCACGACCCTGACGGCGAGCGTACCACTCGTGCAGCTGCTGTGGGGAGAGAGGCGCACGCGGACGAAGGCGGCCACTCCAAGGAGACCGCGCAGCAGCAGGCTCAGCACCATCAGGTGCCTCACCCCCGAACTCAGCACCCCCAGGCTCCTCACGCTCAGGCTCAGCACCCCCAGACGCAGCACCCCCAGGCGCAGTACCTCCAGTCTCCTCACGCTCAGGCTCAGTACCTCCAGGCTCAGCACCCTCAGGCTCCTCACGCTCAGGCTCAGTGACACCAGACTCCGCACCCCCAGGCCCAGCAACCCCAGGCTCCTCACGCTCAGGCTCCGCACCCCCAGGCTCAGCACCCCCAGAGACAGCACCCCGAGCAGGACCAGAGTCACCAGTGACCTCAACAGGCGCAGGCCCGGGCGGGTCTACCTGAGAAACACCTGAAGGAGCAGGACCTGGCGCGGGGAGGGGGTCTACCTGGGGAGGACCTGGAGCGAGAAAGAGCGGCGGGGGCAGGCGAGGGGCAGTGTGGTAGGGACAGAGATGGTAAAAGGGGACTGACTCGTCAAAGGTGACGTCAAAGACACGGCGCGAGGCGGGGTCGTAAAACTGCCAGCCAGGCGCGTCAGGAGGAAAACCAAGGAAGACGCAGAAAATGGCACGAGCGGAGAGCTTGTCTGCGGTGGTATCGCGGACAAAGGCACCGGCACCCCAGACCCAGAATCGCGACGCATCGCCAACCTTCCCCGTCCACAGCAGTGTGGGCGAGGTCTCCGGCAAGGAGACACGAGGCCAGAGGTTGAGCTGATGCGCGGCGTACCGGACCGCAAACGGCCACAGAAAATGGGGAGTCGCCGCATGGATCATGGAGGTACGAGCGACCTCCATGACTAAGCCAATGCGGCGCTCAGCAACCCCATTCTACTGCGGAGAGGCCGGAAGCGTGAACGACTGGCGAATGCCATGCTCCGCACAGAAGGCTGCCAAGAGGTCGGAGGTGAACTCACCACCTCTGTCAGAGTGCAGACGCAGGACAGGAAAGTCCGACTCGAAACGGAGCTGGAGACGAACAGCGCGGATCCAAGGGATCAGAACAGCAGGGACATCCGACTTGCACTGCAAGGGGAAAACCGTGGTGTAACGCGTGTAGTCGTCGACAACCAGCAGGAAGTACCGCTCGCGGCCGTGCCCCTGGACGCGGGCTGGGCCCCACACGTCCAGGTGGAGAGTCTGCAGCGGAGCCTCTGTGGGAGGGAACGAGGAGGAGTGAGGTGCGGCGCGCTGCCGCCCCTCGACACAGGGAAGGCAGGGCGGCGCAGGCGAGGGAGGGAGGGCAGGCAGAGACCTGGGAAGACCAGAGACCAGGGAGCGAAAGAGCATGCCACGCAGGCGAGGCAGGGAGGGGTGACCAAGGCGGTGGTGCCAAAGGAGAGTCTGGTGCGACAGGCGACGACACTCACACTGGGTAGCTACCTGAGCAGACGCGTACAGCTGAGGAGACAAAGGGGTGTAGCGCGACGCAGTGGTGAGGGTGTACAGACTGGACCCAGGCGCACGTGTGAACGTGGCCAGGTGACGGCCGGTCCGGGAGCACGTGCAGATCGTCACACGCTGTCCTCCAGGAGTAAAGGTGTCAACCCAATGATCCTGAAGGACGGCGTTGCTCACCAAGTTCGTAGAGAATGAGGGGAGGTGGAGACCAGACAGCTCACCAGACGGGACCGCCGGACACGGAAGCACAGTGGTGGACCGTGCAAGCACTGGGCCCCTAGAGGGGTCAGCCAGTGAGACAGGGACAGGTGCAGCTAGGGGAGTGACTGTGGTGCTGTTGCGAAAGAAACAGCGGGAAGCACCAGAGTCAAGTGTAAAGGTGTGCAAGGCCTGAGCGGACGCAGTACCAGGGAGAGCAGACTCACTAGCACCTAGGGCTGCAGGCGCTATACCTGGGTCTATACCGGGGTCAGGCGGCACATGCAAGTAGCAGTCACCCTCAGCACTAACAGTCAATGCATACATGGCAGCAAGAATAGCATCATAGTCAAGATCAAAGATAGGAACATCACGCCTAAGCAGGTCTGCCCAGTTGGGGAACTCAGTAGCATCAGGAAACTTGGCGCGCCAGGCGTCGGTCGATAAGCCGAGCGAAGCAGCGGTACTCAGTGTGAAAGCCGGTGCACTGGCGACCAGTGCGGGGACGTGTGCGAATGATATAGGGGCAGCGACCAGGACCCCCAGACGCCCCACGCCCGGCATTCCGGTCATGAAGCTGCTGAGAAGCGGTGGTCTGGCGCTGACGCTGCTGCGGCTGCTGCTGCTGCTGCTACTACTGCTACTGCCCCTGGCCACCACTGGTCTCACCCAAGCCCCCACCACTGCCGCCACCACCACTGCCGCCTCCGCTACCACCACTGCTGCCACCGCCACTGCTCCCGGCACCACCACCGCCCCCACCACCACCTCCACCCCCACGACCACCCCCACCACCTCCGCCGCCCCCGCCGCCTCCACTACCGCCCCCTCCACCACCACGTCCGCCACCCTTGCCACCCCTGCCCCCCCTGGAGCCGTTGCGCTTCCCACTAGGAGCGGAAGCAGCTGCGACCTTCTCAGCACCAAGGAAGTCGACAGCAGCAGCAGCAGAGGCGTAGGAGGGGGCAAGAGGGGAGGGGGAGCAACCCTTAAAGAGGGGTGTGAGAGGAGTGCCATGAGCGGCACCTACAGCGAGGATGTTCTTCTCGGCTGCCAGGAGGTGCTGCTCGAAGTCGGCGATAGTGAGAGTGGTAGGGTCTAGGGCGAGAAAGTGGTCCCTAACGGAGCTAAGAGTGTCAGGGAGGCGGGTGACGAGGAAGTAGAGAGTAAAGTACATCGGGGGGGGGGGGGGGGGGGGGGGGGGGGGGGGGGGGGGGGGGGGGGGGGGGGGTCTCGGCGCGGAACTCGGCTGGAAGGGCGGCACGAAAACGAATGTCACTAGTGCGAAGGTGAGAAATGAGGTCCTCAGCAGTGGTAAGCGAGGACAGGTCTGGGAAAAGGTAGGGTAGCATGAGCCGACCTAGTGTTGCAGTGGCCGGGGAGGAGTAGCGCGCAACTACAGCGTCATACAGTGCCTTAGCAGTCTTGTGCTGGTTGAAATGCGCACGCTCAGTGATCGGCAGATGATTGCGAATAGCGAGGCGCGTAGGAGCATTGCGAGTCTGCCACTGTGAGCGATCGAGAGCAGGAGCATCGTCAGAAGGAGCAACGGCAGTGCCACACGCATGATCGAACAGTGAAACGCCGTCTTTGGCATCAGTCATAAGAAACAGTTGGAGATCGTCGAGCCATGTGGCGAACTCTATCGGGCGACCGTCCGGCTCAAACGCGAGAACATTAAGCGTCGCCATAATCGCAGCGCAGGCGAAGGCAGTAGGCGAAGGCAGCAGGCAAAGGTAGCAGGCACAGGCAGTAGGCAACGAGAGACCGTGCGCAGGGCCGCTGAGTGAGCGCACGAGCAGCAAGGGCGGCGCGCAAAGCAGCCGCAGGCACCGCAGGTAGCACGCGAGGCAGCAGCAGGCTGCGTGCAGGCTGCGGAGGCGCGGCGCGCGGGGCTGCGGTGGACCGCGCGCGGGCTTTTAAGATGTGGCGAGGGCGGCAGCCGCGGCGCGCGAGGCTGCAGCGCGATGCGCGGGCAGTGGACGCGACGCGCGGGCAGCGGACGCGACGCGCGGGGCTGCAGCGGACGCGACGCGCGGGCAGCGGACGCGACGCGCGGAGCAGCAGCGAGCCGCGCGCGGGCTGCCGAGGCGCGACGCGAAGAAGCAGCTAGGGCGACGCACGGGGCAAAGACGGGCTGTGCGCGGGAATTAGGTCTGCGCGCGCGACGCAGCACGTTACAGACATAGTCGTGGGGTAGGTGGGCCCGAAAAAAAAGACGGTCCTACGGACGTACTGCCCTGAAACCATGTCAAGAACTAGAGATAGGAATGAATTGACTAGATCAGGGTTTGGTACAAATATGAAACCCTAATGGGGTTGTACCCCATGTTGGCTACCCCACTACAGCCTACATAAATATAACATGCATATAATTTGACAGTTGCATGCCTTGAATCAGGCGGCCAGGCGGCCGCTTCACATTGACGAACCACGTTCGCCCTAGGAGGAGAAAATACGTCGATGTACGCGCCTGCTGGTGTACAAGCAGAATGATGTTTCACTAGCAAGAGATTGGTACAACTATAGAAGTCTTATACCCTATGCTATCACTCACTGCTTCCTAACAAAACTAAACAATGATATCAATATAAGTGGACACTTGAATCTTAGTGTTATGAGTTGTACGAAAGAAGAGTGCGCAGAATGCAATATCGCGGAAGGAAGTTGTTATGAGTTGTACTAAGAAGAGTGCGCGGAAGACTTTATAAAAGAGATGAGAATTACAGAATGACGAGAATGATAATGAAGCGAGCATTTATAGGGTCGAAACCGTGCTAGGCGAGGACCTCGATGTGCGTGGCTCGGGAATGTCGCAATTGGTGCGGGGCGACTCGGGGCTGGTTCGGTGCGAAAGTGTAGGCCGAGCCATACTGACGCGAACTGCTCGGGGCTGTCCTCGCTAAGGACAGTTCTACAGTAATGAATTGCACATTCATTACAGAAGTGATTACAACTGCTGAGCAAACAACGAGGCCTAGGAAATATAGCAATGCTAGCTAGGCCGAGGTCACGTTTTCGTGAGAAGGTTGGGTGCAGGTTTGGGTTTGGAAAACCCGAAGGCGACCCATCGGAAGGCGAGGTCGGCGGACCAATAGCATGGAAACCTGTCAGCCGAACAGTAGCACCTACTAGTTAGTAGCAACTATGGGTCGCAGGCGGGAGAGGAAAGCGAAAGGCGCTTTAGGAGGCGGTGCGCGGCGAGTGAAGCTCGATCTATGGGGATCCGAGCCGGCCGAAGGTTCGTTCAGGCGTTTTGTTTCTGTTCAGTAATTGGCTTGACGGTGTCGTCCTAGTTGACGTTCGAGTCGACTTGAATGTCGAAGGTTCGTTCGGGCTTCTTAGTAGATAATTGGCGTGACAGAAGCAGTTTCTGTGTGTCGTTCTTTCTACCTTGTCTTACATTAGATGTTTGCTTAAGTTCATCCTTCATATCTTCTGGTCTTTGTTTATTTTCCGAATTCCTCTAACGTTTTGTCCGTTTGACTAACCAGCTCAGCGAACGACTTTCGCGTCCGAGCGTTGTTCATCGCGGTTATTCGCATTCCATCGGTCCCGTTTTGGAACCCCTTCATTAATTCCTCTCGGATGTCTTGCCACACGGAAAGACGAACTTTGTTTTTTTGTTTTTTTTCTTTCTCTTTACATGTTACGTTCGTTACTCCCTTCTTTATCCTATCAGATGCACAGGCGGAAGCGAATCCATCAGCCGGGGAAGAGCACTTGTCAGGCGAAGCTTTTCAGAAGGGGGATGGCGACCAGGCACCCTCAGGATTGCCGGCAACTTCTGTGCTGACGTCATCGTCGGCAGCAGCATCAGCTGCTACTGCTGCTACCGCTGACGCACCCTTGCCTTATGTAGAAGGTGCGTGGAAGCTTCCCTTCCTTCCACTCGTACTGTTATGATACCATATGCGAGCCTTGTGGGATCGTGGAATGTGCGACCGTCACGGTTGCATGTATTGTCGCCAGGGCGACAATCAAATGGCCTCGTTCGTATCAGCGCAGACTTTCAGGCGGATCTTTTCTAGTGTGGATCAAAACGTGGGACGACCAGCGGCCGCACATGCATCAGCGGTTCCGTCAGATCGTCAACGGATGACGTGTGCTCCACGCTTCAAAGCCGAGGGGGGGAAATGACAGAGCTGGAATGGGATATTCTCACACAGATTGCCACGTCATCATAAGCACCATCCAGCTGATAACCAGGGTGGCTGCTGCTGCTGCTACTGCCAGGCCTCCTCCGCTGTAATCGCTCTCTCTTCACGAATCATGTCTGTCACGATGCCACCCTGCCATGTGAACCCCTGGGCCCTGCCGTTGTGACCGGTTCCTGCATGGGTGGAAAGGGTCCGGTTTGCCTTGACCGCAAGCACAGTGAATGACTTACCTCTAGTGGCATTGGGAGGGGAAGGGCCGGGTGAAACGGAGGCGAGGAGAAGGAGGATTTGTTGGCTTGCTTGGCACGGTGCAATGCGGTGCAGTTGAATGTTGCAGGTCCATTACAGTCCCTGTGCTGCACTGGGAGAAGCACCGGTGCATCGCGCTCCTGTGACGTGTCTCAGCATCTCAGCATCTCAGCAGATTGGATCTTCCAGCGGTAGGTGCAGGTTTGTGTCCTCTTTTACTGTTCGGCACTCGCCTCTCCCCTTGCTTGCTGCTGCTGATCGCTCATTGATAATTGCTCATATGTTTTCTAGACCAGATGCCTAGCATATGCCGTAGAACAGATTCTGAATGCGATGAGTGTAGATTCTGGTCAACCCTTTTAACAGGTGTGTGTATCTAACCTTTAACAGGTGCAAGTGTCCGCGTACGTAACGCTTCCTGGATTTTTGCTCTCGGGGGGGAAGGGGTGAGGAGGGGGGGGGGGGGGGACAGTTTAATTCACTCGATTATGAAGTGGTTTAAATAAGAAGCTCACTCTGTTTTTTCTCGCCTTTCTGCCTCCCGTTGTTCTGCCTGTCCCTTGTCTTTTGTTGTTCTCGTCTTGGCCTCCCTCCTTTGTCCCTCCCAGGCACCAAGGCACCGGACCCTCTCTCGCTTCTAGGAGCGTATAGCGATGAGGAGGAGGAGGAGGAAGAGGAGGAGGAAGGGGAGGGGGGAGAGGCGGAGACCGGGGAGAGGGATGTTGGCAAAGCGGAGGAGGGGGATGCGGTTGAGATGGATGATGAGGTAAATGTGCGGGTGTGTAGGTGTGTGTAGGCGCGCGTCAGCACGTGTGTGTGTGTGTGTGTGTGTGTGTGTGTGTGTGTGTGTGTGTGTGTAGGCGTGTGTGTCTATGTTGGCATACACGCGTTTAGCGTATATACGCTAAACGCTAGGGTTTTAACCTGTAGGTTGGTTGAGACAGCTGGGAGGGTAGGTTGGTTGAGACAGTTGAGAGGTGAGTGCAACGTGACCTCAAAAGCAACCATGGGAGGGAGCGTCCTTGTCGCGAGTTTTACGGTGCCTTGACATTTTCCCCCAAAAAACCTTTCAAAGACTGCTGAAGTGCATCATTCCCCCTCGCTCTCTCCTCCTCTCTCCTCTCCTCCGCCTCTTCTCACTTTCTCCTCCCCTATCCTCTCTCTTCGTCTTCCATCCCCTCCCCGCCTGTCAGATGCTGGCGTTCATGTCTGAGTTAAAGGAGAGCGGCCTGTTGGACGAGCAAGGCGGGATCGCACGGGACGAGACGGAGCGTGACAGAGAAGAGGAGGGTGCTGAGGGGAGTGCGGGAGAGGAGGAGAGGGCAGAGGGGGATGTGCCGAAAGGGGAGGCTGGGAGTGAAAAGGACGTGGGGAGCAGGGAGGGGGAAAATAGTAAAGAGGAGAAGACGATAGATGGTGAAGGGAGGTTGGAAGAGGAGGGAGAGGGAGGGCGAGGTGGGAGTGGGGGGGCAGCAGAGGCAGAGAGCAAAGCTGAACGGCAGAGTGATGCTTGTGAAAGCCATGAGAAGCAAGAAGGGAAGGACAAGGGCGGGGAGGCGCAGGGGGGAGAGGGAGAGGAAAGGACAGGGGAGGCAGGGAAGGAGGGAGTGGTTGGTGTGCATTCCCATGGTGGTGCTACTCCGAGTGTGTGGCAGGCTGTGCTGGAGCCCGAGAGTGGCGAGTACTACTACTGGAACACCGTCACTGGGGAAACCTCCTGGTCAGCTCCAGCAGAAGTTGGGCAAATGGAGGGTGCTGGGGTTGCGGTGGGCACGCTAGAAGGTGGCGAGGGAGTGGGAGAGAAGGGGGGAATGATTGAGGGAGACGAGGAAGTGGGGCGGTGTGAGAGCGAGAGGAGGGAGAGAGGGGAGGAGAGTGGGGAGGAGAGAGAGGAGGAGAAAGGGGAGGAGAGAGGGCAGGAGAGTGGGGAGGAGGGTGGTGAACAGAGACAGGGGGAAGCAGATGAGGTGATGGGAAGTGCAGGGGAAGGAGATGGGGTTGAGCGCAGGGAGAGGGAAGGGGAGCGGGTGAAGCAAGAGGACAGGGCTATGCAAGAGGAAGGGGAGAGGCAGGAGTGTGTGGAAGAGCATGCGGGGATGGAGGAGGAGGGCAGTGACGGTTTGCATGCAGGTGAGGGCGTGGATGCTGCTGTTCCTCTCTCTGGTCCTGAGGGCTCAAGGGAGCAATCAGAGGGACAAATAGCTGAGCGCCACCTGGCAGGAGGTGCTGCTGACATGGCGAGTGCAGGTGCCATGGACGCAATGCTGCAGTCCTTGCAGGAGCAGGTCGAATCAGCAGAGGCTGAGCTGGCAGCAACAGCTGCTGACGTGGCGGATAAGACAGGTGACGCGGTATCCAGGCTGGAGTCCTTGCAACAGCAGCTGACGGCTGTCGAATGCAGGCTTCCTGCTTCTCCCACCACCTCTAACACTTCACCCTCTCTCCCTTCCTTCCCACTGTCCCCGTCACTGTCCGCCTCCCTCACCGCCCTCTCCGCCTCTCTCACTCGCCTGCAGCTACAGGCCTCCATCCGCCTGTCAGACCTCACTTCCCTCTCGGACCGGTTTGCACAGGCGTCTGCAGCAGCAGCTGTAGCAACTGCTGTAGCGCCCCCCACCACTGCAGCAGCTGCCCCTACAGCCTCTGCAACTGTGGCACCCCTTTTTGCTCCAGCTGTAGCGCCGTTATCCTCTGCTGGGTTTTCAGAACCTCTCGCGCTACAGCCGTGGCACGAGCTGCAGCAGCGGCTGCTACAGGTGCAGGTACAGCAGGGGTTGCAGGCGGGGCTGCTGGTGGTTGTGGGGCACTGCTTGGAGCAGGTGGGGCGAGTGGAGCCAGAGAGTGAGGAGGTGCAGGGGAGAGTGGAGAGAGTGAGGGAGCAGTGGGAGGAGGAGAAGCAACGGTGGGAAGAGGAGCGACGGCAAGACGATGAGGAGAAGCAACGGCTGGAGGAAGAGGAGGAAAGACAAGGGCGGGAGGTAAAGGAGAAAAGGGAACGATTGGAAGAGGAGGGGAGACGGCTGAGAGAAGAGGAGAGGTTGAGACAGGAGGAAAGACAAAGACGGGAAGACGAGGAGGAAAGGAATGAGCAGGTGAGGCGGGAGGTTGCAGAGAAGGTGAGAGAAACAGGGAACCAGAACCAGGAGGAACGGTTAGGGGTGGAGAGGGGTTCTGGTGCGGCCTGGAAGGGTATGGAGCAGTACTCAGCATCAGAGAGTGGGGAGATTTCTCCAGAGGGAGAGGAGGAAGGAGAGGAGGAAGTGGAGGGAAGAGCAGGAAAACAGGCGGTGAAGCAAAGCAGTGGTGGTGGGTTGGGTGGTGGTGGTGACGAGGATATGGATGTGGAGATGGACTTGGATGGGGTCGAGGGATCAGCAGCAGGAGTAAAGGCAGCAGAAAGGGTAGGCCATGGTGGTGAGGCAGGGTATGGAGCAGGAGGAGGAGTGGATGGAGGAGGGGCAGGGCATTCGTCTCTACCACTGGCATCATCACCACCACCTCCTCTCCCTCCGTCCCCTCCCCCGCAACCACCGCAATCCCCACCTCCCCCTCCCCCCCCTGACGCTCCTGAACCCTTGCCCCCTCCTGCTGACGCTCATGCTGCTGACGCCAATACCAGTGCTGCTGACGCCGCTGCTGTTCATGCTGCTGCTCTTAGTGCTGCTGCCACTGCGTATGCCTCTGACCCTGCCAATGCTTCTGCAGCAACAGCAGCAGCAGAAGCAGCAGCAGCAGCAGCAGCAAGTGACTGGCCGTATACAGCCACAGCAGCACCATATGCCTACGATCCAGCAGCAGTGGCAGCAGCGGCAGCAGCTTCAAGCTATGATCCTTCTGCCGCTGCTTGGGCTTCTCATTATGCTGCCTATGCAGCAGCAGGAGCAGGAGCAGCAGCAGCAGCAGCCGCAGCAGCAGGGTACACAGCAGAAGCAGCTTATTACCAGGCATACTCGGACATGTATGGTTACACTCCCACCTACCCCACTCCCACCACTGTTTCGTCTGCTCCTGTAACATACGCTGCTGCCCCCACTGCTGCGGCAGCCGCCCCTGCTGCTACAGCCACTACTGCCACCCGTCGGCCTCGTGTTGTGGTTGCTGCACCAGCATTGGTCAGACCAGCAGCAGCAGCAGCAGCATCAGGTGGTGTTGCTGATGGTAGTGCATCGAGAGAGGAGCGGGAGGCATCAGGCACTGGAGGAGACGAGGGGGACCGACACACAGTTTCTGCTGCTCCTGCACCGTGGTGTTCCTGCTCCTGCTCCTGCTCCTTTGCTTTCCACAATGGAGGCTGTATCTGCTGCTGCTGCTGCGGCCAAACAGCAGGCAGAAAAGGGTGCGCGTTCTTGGATGTAATGAAATATCCTGTGCGCTAATCTGCTTTCTTCTGTCACCATCGTTCCTCCTTCCCTTTTTCTTTCCTTCCACCCCTGCCCTCTCCTCGTGTGGCCGCTCCTCACTCCGTTTCGCTGTGTGCCTCCTTGCATCTCTCTTCATCTCTTTGCAACCCTGTTAGTCCAATCAGACCCCTTCTCATCTCCTTGCACCCTCTAGGTATCCTTGCCACCGCCCTGTCGTCCCATGCATCAGCAAAGCCCCGGAGGTCTCCAATCGTGTTCAGGAGGAATGCACGCATGCATGAGTGTGATCCTCGTTACAACTCGCATTCTCTCTTCCGTGCGTCATGCTTCTTTCGTTGACGTGGGCCCTCTGACTCTCTTTGCAACCCACACCCCTCTTGTCTCCTCCTCACGCCGTAATCCCTTACTAACGACCCCCAGTTTCAACCACGCAGCGGGAAAGCCTAAGAGGAAAGCGGGGAGGGGCACATGCAAGCACAAACCTCCTTCCACACATGTCCCTCGCTTCTTGTATACCCGTGTGTTGTCTCCTCTCACTGTCCACCCGCGCAGCAACAAGCCCAAGAGCAGAGCAGCAGTGGGAGGGGCGTGCAAGCACACAAGCACGCAACCCCCACCGTCGAATTCCAATCTCCTCATCTTGCCTCCTCACGCTCTCCATCGCAACTTCTGAGCCACCGTCTCCTGTTTTGAGGCGCCCAAATGTAACTTCCTTCATAAGCCTCATCTTGTCTCCTCACACTCTCTGTGTCCTCATACGCTTCTCTGCACCCCCCCTTCCCCATCCTGTTCCTCTCCGCCTTTCCTGTATTTTGTGCAGCAACAAAGCCCAAACGGAAGGCGGCAGTGGGAGGGGCACATGCGAGCAAGAAAGTGTCATCGCTGGTGAACAAGGTGAGATCCATCGGTGAGGGTGAGGCAGCTCAATAGAGGGACACAGGCGAGCAACTAAGTGTCTTCCCTGGTGAGCAAGGTGGGGTTCGGAATTTCAAGTATATTTTAGTGAGTGCTGCTCTTTTGACAAACCTTCCCTCCCTTGCTCCTTCTCCTGAGCAAGAAAATATCTTCCCTGGTGAGCAAGGTGAGGTCCATTGGGGTTTGTTGTCCGAAGCTCATACGGTTCATGTTTGTCATCTCTCTCCTTGTGCTCCTTCTCCTTGTTCTCTCTCTCTTTACTCATCCCTCCGCTATGGCAGTGGAAAGCAGCGAAGGAAGAACTAGACGAGGAGAGGATGAAGCGGGAGCAAGAGGAGGAGGAGAGGGAGCGGGCGTTGTATGACGGGGAGGTGATTGGGAAGAAGCGGCAGAAGAAAATCGAGGTGAGGGGGAGGGGGGGAAGCGAGGGACAAGGTCACAAGGGTGTGCGAGTTGTGAGGCCTTTTTTGTTGGCCTTTATAGAACATGCGCGTGATCTATTTTTCTTGTTCGGGTGGGAAAGGGAGTGGTCCTTGTTCAATACGGAAGTGATTGGAAGGAACAGCAGAAGAAAATATAGGTGAGGGGGGTGTTGGGGGGAAAGAAGAAGGTTCTTTCATTCCGAGACCAGCCTCAAGTGATGTCCGTGCGCTTTTGTATATCTCTATGTTTTTCCTTTGCGGGCCGTCGGGTGTGCTTATTAACAAGTGAAAGAAGAATAACTATGAGGTGCTTCAGAAATATGTTTTTTTTGTTGCTTGTTGTGCCCCAGGAGTGGAAGCAGCAGCAGCTGCAGACAGGCGAGGCAGAGGAGAACGCCAACTTCCAACCACTCGCAGTCGATTGGTAAGAAAGAAATGAATTTTCTCAGTCGACTCATAGATGGACTTTTTACACGCGATGGTGAAGCCGACTTAGAACACAGCGCTGCAGACAGGAGAGGCCGAGGAGAATGCCGATTTCTAACGACTCGCAGTCGACTGATAAAGAAAAAGAGCTTCATACTGTAGCTTCTAGTACGAGCGTCTAGACTGAATGTTTTTGCCCTTTTCACTGTCCCGATCACTTGTTGTCGAAGAGTAGCAAGCCCTGAATCTTCCGCAGTCTCCTTGTATCTTATCGACAAACAGAGAAGTAAACAAGCAAGCAGAAGCAAAGAAACTGAAGTGCCTTGTGTCTGTAATTTGGAGTAAAGGAGATTAATGATGCTTCTGTCTCTCTCCTTGATTGATACTTTCGCTGCCGGTAACGTGCCAACACGGCAACGTGCCTATCCCTGCCGCTCCCTTCCCACCAAAACAGGCGAGTGGAGAGGGCAAGATGGGTGAGTCACGCTCAGGCTGACTGTTCAGTTCACTCGCAAAACTTAACGTGCCCCTCTTCCCACCTTGGCCACCTCTGGCACTTGACTCCCTATCCTTCCGTTCCCACTGCAACAGGAGAGAGCGAGTGAAGCGCGCGAGAGGGGCGAATCAGGCTGAGGCTGACTCGCCCCTTTTTAACGGTGCTGGTGGGGCGAGCCCTGCTACCGCCACAGCTGCTGCTGCAGCCGGTGGTGCAGCTGGGGTTGATGAACAGTCAAGACAGCAGGATGGGGGACCGGCAGCAGCTGTAGCAGTGGGTGTTGGAGCGGAGAAGAAGCGCAAGGGGACGGATTTGAAGGCTCTTTCTGCTGGGCTGCCGGCTGGATGGCAGGTGGGGATGCAGTGCTGGCGGGTGGGATGCGGTGATGGTTGTTGTCAAACCTGTGGGAACTGGTGGGCAGGTTCTCAGGTGCATGTGTGATCCTGTCTTCCCAATTCAGTAGTTACTTTTGTTCAAAGCTACCTTGCCATGAGTTTATTTGCCTGCTCCCTGTGTGTGATGCAAGTGATGCTTCTTGACAACTTGTTTCTCTCAGGTGGAGGTTTGTGAACTGTTGTGCTATGCGCATGTGTTGCTGAATGCTAATCGGCAGCCTTGGCTTTTTTGCCTGGTCCTTTCATGGCTGCATGGCGAGTCAAGTTAGCGCACCTCGAGTTGCATGCCGGCTCTTGATGTAACAGGCCGTCGTGTCTAATATAGTTCGTGTTGCTGGGTGCTGGGTCTTGTGTGCTGCTTTTTCTCCCTCCCTCTTTTCCCCCCCTCCTCCAATTCCCCATGGGCTTCAAACCAGGCGTTTTTGGATCCCCAATCAAGCGAGGTGTATTATGGCAATCTTTCAACCAACGAGACATCTTGGGACAGACCAGTCTAGACGCCGTTCCCAAGTTTCCAGATTGTTCAGATTGAGTTTGTAATTCATTCTGTGAGGTGGTTAAGATCGAGTTTAGGAGCTATAGAAAGCTAGGAAGTCGAGGGAGCAAAAGAAGGGTTTGGATTAGAATGGAATAGAAAGGGGTTGGGTTTAGAAAAGGTGCACCATTAGATGAATTTTTTTGAAAGTGTGTAACACTTTCTAAAAATGCGTATTGTGAAAGCGCAGCTGCCTGTAACGAAGCAAAGCAACGGCGAATTACAATTCGCCGAGTATATAACCAGGGTTGGAGACCATTCGGCCTCCACCCGCGACTTCATTTCGGAACCATGCAGTTCCACTTCGTTCTCGTGCAACCACCTTGAACCAGGGCTCGTGCTAGGATTTGGGGCATCCTGAGCCCTCAGGGCAACCTTCCAGAAACTCAAAAAATGCCCTGATTTCTCAGGACAAATTTTTGAAGGCATCCTGTAGCTTCAGGGCTTCAGCAGAATTTAATCCTGACCTGTCAGGGCAGAAAAACTATTGCTCAGGGTTCAGTTCTAGCACTTCTAGTAAGGCCTATGTGTGTGTACTACTACTGCTTTGGTGTTTTACTGGCTGGCACCAGGCCCTCAGATTGGTTTGGGGGTACACTGAGGCCTCAGGGCAGTTTTGAGAAAATCAGAAATTGCCCTGAATTTTCAGGGCTGCAAAGGGTTATGTATCCGGAAATGTCAGTGCGAAATTTGACTGTATCCTGGCAGTTCAGTGCTACATTTCGTACAGCCCTGTACGTTTCGCGCGTGTTATGTTAGCGGGGGTCGAAATGCTCTCCACATTCGAAGTGTGTGATGCTGGGGTGCACTACATAGAAAAATAGAACAATAATAAAAAATTCAGCGAATTATCTCACGTGAAGTGTTGTAGTGGGTGAGGTGCCAGTCTGTAACACAAGAGGTCTCCAGCTCGATTCCCGCTGCCTTCGAGAGGTCTGTTCGGGGTGCACGCACTAGTACACTTTTAGGCCCCGAAACGTAGGAGAGGTTTGGTACAGTACATCTCGCTTCAGGGCGAGATTCGACACTATCCTGAGTCGTCTGGGCCGAACCTACAGGGTTATCCTGAAGTTTCAGTCCGCAATATAACCATTATACTGATCTTACAGGACAAGATATTCCCTTATGCTGTTTTTTCAGGAGAAGCACACGTTACCTATCCTGAATTCAGGAGAATCAGGATAAATTATCCTGATAACATAGGCCCTGGCTGGCACCAACATTGTCCTAATAATCCAGGCTCCAGTCCAGACCACCAGACCAGTCACCACCAGATCATACCACCAGATCAAGTTTGAGAAGTTTTACCACACCCACCCCTCCCCCCCACCCCTCCCCCTACCCCCCCTCCCTTCCGAAAAACGCGTCAGGGGAAGCCTCTACTTTCATCCTGACACTACAGGGTACAACATTACGACCATCCTGAAGTTCCAGGGCATATCGAATGACAACATCCTGAGACCACAGGGTAAAAATTGCCACCATTCTGAAATTCCAGGGCAAATTCAAAACTGCATCCTGAAATCAGGGTAATCAGGATGTTTTGCCCTGATATCGTGGGGCCTGCCTTGAACGGTTTCCCTGGTAACTAGAACTTCCTACTAAGTCAAGACTCACGTTCCATTACAACCCATGCACTTAATTTTCCAGAAAGGTGACACTATCACGCATGCAACTATTACCTGGCGGGCGCTCAACTGAGCGCGAAGTGCGCCGGACGAAACGCCACTAGGCGCGCCAGAGACGAAATCGCCAGTGGCACGCACTAGTGACGGAATCGCCACTGGCGCCAGTGGCGCGAGCTAGCAGGGCTTTTTTTATCAGTGTAATTTACTGTTAAACTTATTATGCTTGTAGGCTGTAGTGGGGTAGCCAATATGGGGTACAACCCCAACTAGGGTTTCATATTTGTACCCAAACTTCTGCTAGTTCATTCATTCTTGCCTAGTGATTCTGACATGGTATTCAGAGCAGGAGGTCCCTAGGACCTACCGACCGTTTTTTTTAAGGGCCCACCACCGCTCGCATGCGGTTACCACGCTACCCCGTGCCCTAGCCTCGTAGCGCCCTCGTGCGCCCACGTTAGCGCCCTCGCGCGCCCCTCGTTAGCGCCCTCGCGCGCACCCTCGTTAGCGCCCTCGCGCGCCCCTTCGTTAGCGCCCTCGCGCGCCCCTTCGTTAGCGCCCTCGCGCGCCCCTTTGCTAGCGCCCTCGCGCGCCCCTCACTAGCGCCCTCGCGCGCCCCTCGCCGAGCCGCCCGCTCGCAGCCCGCCCGCCCGCTCGCTGCCCGCTTCGCGGCCCGCTCACTACGCAGCCCGCCCGCCCGCTCGCTGCCCGCTTCGCGGCCCGCTCGCTCGCTGCCCGCTTCGCGGCCCGCTCGCTACGCAGCCCGCCCGCTCGCTGCCCGCTTCGCGGCCCGCCCACTTCGCAGCCCGCCCGCCCGCTCGCTGCCCGCTTCGCGGCCCGCCCGCCTCGCAGCCCGCTCGCCCCGCTGCCCGCTTCGCGGCCCGCCCACTTCGCAGCCCGCCCGCCCGCTAGCTGCCCACTTCGCGGCCCGCCCGCATCGCAGCCCGCTCGCCCCGCTGCCCGCTTCGCAGCCCGCCCGCCCGCCCGCTGCCCGCTTCGCGGCCCGCCCGCCTCGCAGCGTCGCCCGCCCGCCGTGCTGCCCGCTTGCAGCGCCGCCTGCCCGCCGCGCTGCCCGCTTCCCGGCCCGTCCGCCGCGCTGCCCACTCGCAGCGTCGCCCTCCCGTCGCGCTGACCGCTTGCAGCGCCGCCTGCCCGTAGCGCCAGCCTCGCCCGCTGCTCTCTATCCGTGCACAGTCGCCTTCCCCTGCTGCGACAGCCTGCGTTACTCTGTCACACTGTCGCTATGGCTTCCATCCGCGTGCTGTCGTTCGATGCTGAGGGCCGCCCTGTGCGGTTCACCGCTTGGCTAGATGACCTGCAGCTGTTCCTCCTGAGCGATAGCAAGGAGCATGTGTCGCTCTATGACTACGCGTCTGGTGCTGCGCCTGCCCCTCCTGCCACAGCTGAGCTTAGTGTTCGTTCCCACTGGCAGACTCGTGACGCAGCTGCTCGCCTAGCCATTCGCAGTCACCTGCCGTTAGCTGAGCTAGAGCATTTTGGCGACTGCAAATCCGCTAAGGCCCTGTACGACGCTGTCGTCGCTCGCTACTCCTCGCCTGCCACAGCCGAGCTTAGCCGCCTCATGCTGCCGTACCTGTTCCCCGATCTGTCCACCTTTACTACAGTCGCCGATCTTATCACCCACCTTCGCACTAGTGATGCTCGCCTGCGTGCCGCCCTTCCCACCGAGTTCTGTGCTAAGAACCCCCCTCCACTGTACTGGACACTCCACTTTATAGTCACTCGTCTCCCTGACACCCTCCGCTCAGTTCGAGACCACTTCCTTGCTCGCTGTCCCACTGAGCTCACAGTCGCCCTCCTAGAGGAGCACCTGCTCGCGGCCGAAAAGAGCATTGTAGCTGTCGGTGCTGCTCGTGGCGCTCCTCGCACCCCCATCTTTGAGGGGTGCTCTCCCTCTCCCCTCGCTCCCTCCTACGCTGCTGCTGCTGCTGTTGACTTCCTTGGTGCTGAGTCTGTTGGCGCTGCTTCTGCTCCTGGTGGGAGGCGCCGCACCGGCAAGGGCAAGGGGGGCAAGGGTGGTGGTGGTGGCGCTGGGGGGGGAGGAGGTGGGGGAGGTGGGGGGGGAGGCGGTGCTGGAGGGAGCGGTGGCGGGAGCGCTGGTGGGAGTGGGGTCGGTGGTGGAGACGGGGGCGGCGGAGGAAGCAGTGGCAGTAGTGGCGGCGGCGGCGGTGGCGGTCGGAGCGGTGGTAGTGGTGGCGGCGGAGGTCGGAGTGGAGGCACTGGCTCGGGCCAGAGCTCCCAGCAGCAGCAGCGTCCCCAGACGACCCAGCAGCTTCGTGAGTGGCTTGCTCAGCGTGGGACGTCGGGGGCCAGTGCCCGCTGTTCTTATGTCATTCGCACAGGTGACCGCAAGGGACAGACGTGTGGGAGGTTCCACACCCCGTACCGCTGCTTCTCCCGCCTTGACGACGCTTGGCGTGAGGAGATGGGTGCGGATGTTGAGCGCCCCCGCTGGGCTGAGCTCATGAGGGCTGGTGTTGATGTCTTTGCTCTTGACTATGATGCTATTATTGCTGCCATGTATGCATTGACTGTTAGTGCCGAGGGAGACTGTTACTTGTGTGTGCCGCCTGACCCAGGTATAGAGCCCGCTGCCCTGGGTACTAGTGAGTCTGCTCTCTCTGGTATGGTACCCCCTGTACTTGCTCCCCCCAGTGCTGTCCCGGCTGGTTTCGAGTCTGCTCTCTCAGGTACAGCACCCACACAGACTCCTCTCTCAGGTACCGCACCGGCTGAGGCCTGTCACACCTTCACCCTTGACTCAGGTGCTTCCCGTTGCTTCTTTCGTGACAGTACTGAGCTCACACCGCTTCCTGCACCGGTCCCAGTCTCCTTGGCTGACCCCTCTGGGGGCCCAGTCCTTGCCCAGTCCACCACTGTCCTCCCTTGTCCGGCGGTTCCGTCTGGCTCGTTGTCGGGTTTCCACCTCCCCTCGTTCTCGACGAACCTGGTGAGCAACGCTGTCCTTCAGGATCAGTGGGTTGACACCTTTACCCCTGGCGGACAGCGTGTGGCGATCTGCACGTGCTCCAGGACTGGCCGTCACCTGGCTACGTTCACCCGTCGGCCGGGGTCGAGTCTCTACACACTGACCACTGCGTCTCCCCAGGTAGCTGCTGTCGGTCAGGTGTCTGCGTCAGGTCTGGTGGCCCACGCCTGTGAGTGTCGTTCCCTGTCGCACCAGACTCTTCTCTGGCACCACCGCCTGGGTCACCCCTCCTTGCCACGCCTTCGTGGCATGCACCGTCGCCTCCTTGTGTCCGGTCTTCCCAGGTCCCTCCCTCCCCTCCCTGCCTCGCCTGCGCCGCCTTGCCTT